CTGCCTGAAATAAAATTAATTGAAGCACTAAAGTGAATGGTTTTGGGATGTTGTTCATGGGTATGTCCCATTCCGATTAAAAAAATAAACACACACATTAAAGAAAAACATAATATATTTTACACAACGATAATTTACTTGTTAGGTCTTGTAACAGATAAAGATGTAAATTCCTTATAATTTTCCATTAGCTTGGAAATATCTTTTTAGTTTATATTAAGGTAATTTTATTGGGCAAAATACAATATATTTTAAACCAAATTTCTCTTTCTTTTTCATTATCATATTTCGAAAATAATTATACAAAACACTCAAATAAAATGGCTATTCTAATTAGATCGGATTGTTGTTTGGTAAAATGATGAACTATAGAGATGCTTATAATTTGATTATTTTCCGTGAACAAAACAAAAACTTTTGGAATAACTACACGTATATTGGGTCCCACGTAGTAGAAATACTATTTGATAAACATCATCATCATTATTACATAGTACGGTAACACAAAGCCTAGAAGCTTTGCATTATATTTTGATTGATATATAAACGTAATTTGAATTTACATATAATTTTTAGTTGTATATTAATTGGTTTGGTTTGGCTCACGAGTCGGGCACTTTTGGTCCAATGTTGCATGTTGACTACGGGATGAATTTCTGATTAGATAAACTGTTCGGGTTATTTTTTTTGCCAAGAAATTGGGTATGATTTCTATTATCGAATTACTCTAAATAGTATTTGTATCGAAACCTTTCCCAGTTTAAAGAATCTGAACTCTGATATTACTTTTATTTTGATAATACGTATAACTTAAAACTGCACAATATAGATGATCGAGGCTAGGAACATAGGCTAACTAATCAAAAACATGGGTTAATGCATTTGGTCAACGATATAGAGCCCATTACTGGCCACATTATGTAGTTATGTAATCAAATTTGATCCGACCTACTTTTAAGTAAAAATATAAGTGGCACTATTACGTATCATTAGATCGAGGCTAGCAGATAATCTAAAAGAAATGTGGATACCGTCTTTGGCCCAGTCCCAAACCATTTAGACGCACCACCGGCCTTACTATATAGTTGTGCATGGACACGTCGTCGGGTAGGTTGATGATCTCCATTACGATCTCGACATTGCGTGATTCGATGGCGTGGAGTAGGGCGTCCTCTATGGGCACCTTGCAAGCAACCAAGGTTGTCAAAACATCTGTCGTGGGTAAAGTTCAATGAATAAATATTATTTTGTGCGCTTACTTATAAACTACATGTATTTGTATGAAACTATGAATATCTAAATTCAATACATATTAAGTAATCGTGACGATTATGTGCAATTTGTCCCGTAAGACATGTCTTCTTTTTTCTTCATTTCATAAAAAGGAAATAATATCTTAATATGACCATTCAGTGTCAGTGATACCAGGATGAACCATTAGTCAATCATCATATTAAGTGATTCACATTTTTGGATGAATTTCAAGACGGTGGTATGAGACACTTTGCACGGAGTCACCGTGAGGTGGTTTTAAGTTTGCAATTGATTTGGAATACATTACAACTATACAAGACGGGGCTCTAGTCTAAATTTTCTTTTAATTCATTGTATTCGTGTATTTGAGAATAAATGGATCTGAGTAAAATCTCAGCATTTTTAATTTGATGCCATTTCAAAATTTGTCATCATTCAATTCGGTGGTTCTTCGCCTTTTTAATTGTTTGGATAGCATTAATAATAATAATAATATTTAATTTTTATATAGCGCTTAATACAAATGTCTTTAAGCGCTTTACAAATATTCTATTCGATCCGCATTCACTTACTTTTTTTTTATTTATCCCTTACAACTCATGAATTTCTTGAAATATTTATTGGAAGGGAAAAAAGACGAGGACCAACGCGAAAGAGAACATAAAGACCTGGAGAGGAATGAAACTGCAAGAGTGTATCAAAATGGCAGATAACAGAGATATGTGGAAAAATATTGCCAACAACCTCTGAGCTGGAAGAAGATACCTTGATAAACAAAAAGCTCATAGGCCGATTTTCTTTCATTTTGGTATGAATTTCATTTGAGTCTTACTTATCTTTTTGTAAAATAAGGACAAGCCTACTTTTTCCCCAATTCCCCACTACATATCTCCACTTATTCCTCTCTCTCACTTAATCTCATTTCTCTTTATATATCTTACCCTCTTCATCTCTCTCTCTCTCACTCTCTTTCTCTCTAACTTTCTTTGTGATACTACTTTATTATCGTTCTCCCCATTTTCTCTGAGAAAATACCAACGCTATACAGAAAGAGAAGATACTGATTTCTGATTTATTTCCATTTGCATCATTTATTTCAAGGGCTGATTTGTAGTCCAATGCAGTTCATCGAACTTTGAGTCATAAATCTGCTTGTTTTCCTTGTAACAGCAATGTTTGGTTTGGTAGTAGTCATTCTAAACAATTCTCTGCAGCATTAAGTTTGGGCGGATTCTGCTTTTCTTTTGAGATTCATTCGTTTCATGAGCTCGAGTTCGATTTGCTCTGAAGAATTTGAAATGTTGAAGACAGTACAAATCTCTATCTATTCAAAAGTTGGCGATGTGCAAGGAATTGTTGCTCTCTAATTCTGCTTCATGCATCTGAGTGAGAAAGAAAGAGAAAAGAATGCCTTTTTTAAAGGTTTGAAAATGCATGCACGTTTCATTTTCGTTACTAAAATCCTACTGTTTAATACTATACGTTTACTTTTATGTATTCAGCTTTCCTATATGGATAACACTTAATCAAAGGATTTTCTTCTACAAAATTTGCGAATACGAGAAACTTTTATCTTAACTCTTTCTAATTATATAACCCTCGCTTACATTTCACTATACAACATCACACGATATACCAACGTGCTTGAGGAAAATTAAAAATGCTCACCACAGAATGATAAGTGGTCTTTGTTTCATATCAACAGAGTATCCCCTTGATGAGATCTGTATGATCTTCACTGCTCATATTCTGAAGCTGGTTTCAGGGCTTAGGTAGGTTATAATCATGACTTGGTCATTTATCCTACTTTGGTGCAGTTCCAATCTCTGTCTCCTGATGCTGTCTTCTGAAGCTTGTTTCAGGGCTTAGGCAGGTTATAATCATGACTTGGTCATTAATCCTACTTTGGTGCAGTTCCAATCTATGTCTCCTGATGCTGTCTTCTGAAGCTGGTTTCAGGGCTTAGGCAGGTTATAATCATGACTTGGTCATTCATCCTGCCTTGCTGCAGTTCCAATCTCTGTCTCCTGATGATGTCTTCTGAAGCTAATTGCAGGGCTAAGGCAGGTTATAATTATGACTTTGTCATTTATACTGCCTTGCTGCAGTTTCAATCTCTGTCTTCTGAAGCTAATTGCAGGGCTAAGGCAGGTTATAATTATGACTTTGTCATTTATACTGCCTTGCTGCAGTTCCAATCTCTGTCTCCTGATGCTGTCTTCTGAAGCTGGTTTCAGGGCATAGGCAGGTTATAATCATGACTTGGTCATTTATCCTGCTTTGCTGCAGTTCTAATCTCTGTCTCCTGATGCTGTCTTCTGAAGCTGGTTTCAGGGCTTAGGCAGGCTATAACCATGACTTGGTCATTTATACTGCCTTGCTGCAGTTTCAATCTCTGTCTTCTGAAGCTGGTTTCAGGGCTTAGGCGATTATGATCACGACTTGGTCATTTATCCTGCCATGCTGCATTTCCAATCTCTGTCTCCTGATGCTGTCTTCTGAAGCTGGTTTCAGGGCTTAGGCAGGTTATAACCATGACTTGGTCATTTATCCTGCCTTGCTGCATATCCAATCTCTGTCTCCTGATGATGTCTTCTGAAGCTGGTTTCAGGGCTTAGGCAGGTTATAATCATGACTTGGTCATTTTTCCCCGTGCTGCATTTCCAATCTCTGTCTCCTGATGCTGTCTTCTGAAGCTGGTTTCAGGGCTTAGGCAGATTATGATCATGACTTTGTCATTTCTCCTGCCTTGCTGCCGTTCCATTCTCTGTCTCCTGATGCTGTCTTCTGAAGCTGGTTTCAGGGCTTAGGCAGGTTATAATCATGACTTGGTCATTTATCCTGCTTTGAGGCTCTCCAATTCTGCTACATGCAAATGAGGGAGAAAGAAAGAGAAAAGAAAAGGCCTTTTTAAATGGTTTGAAAATGCATGCACGTTTCATTTTCGTTACTAAAATACTACTGTATAATAATATACGTTTACTTTTATGTACTTAGCTTTCGTCTATGGACAACACTAAATCAAAGGATTTTCTTACACAAAATGTGCGAATATGAGAAAATTTTATCTTAACTCTTTCTAACTATATACCCCCGCTTACACTTCACTATACAACATCACACGATATACCAAAAGTGCTTGAGGAAAATTAAAAATGCTCACCACAGAATGATAAGTGGTCTTCGTGTCTTATCAACAGAGTAGCTCCTTGATGAGAGCTGTATGATCTTCACGGCTCTCATCTTCATCCTTCCTATCCCGGGCCCTGCATGCCTGGGGTCTACTAGTCTTAACCAGATATATAGGCACACCAATGCTCTCCGGAGGAAAAGAAAGCAGAACATGAATTCATTGAAACACAATATTGATGGATTGATTGATTGACTGATCGACTGATCAATTGAATGATAGATTGGTTAATTATTAATTGACTGATCGTTTGTATATTTAGTGTATTGACGGCACGACAGGCTGAATGGTTGATGAATTGTTTGATTGGTGGAATACCTTATGACTTGACTGACCGAAAGATTGATCTAATTATGACTTTAAAACTCTATAGCACTTTTAAGTATCATATTTTTTTTCGGCCATTTTATATTATTTATTTTCTAAATCATAGGCACAATATAACATGACCTTATATATTAAAGTAACTGGAGATAGAGAAAAACAAGAAGGGAAAAAATACAAACTTACCATAGTTAAAGTCTCCTCAGTCATTAGAGCGTCTTCCAACTTCGTGATAAGAGCTGTATTATCTTTATTTATAAGCTCTCATCCTCACTCCTCCCTACGTTCTCCAGTCCTAGCCCCAGTGTCTACCAGATGTACTCATCGCTAGACACATCCATGAAGCGCTCTGCAAAAAAAAATGAGAGTGTTAGATTAGAAGGTGATTGATTGGTTGATGGACTAATTGAGCATAATTTAGTGTGTGTGTCTTTTGTTTGATTGGTTGGTTACTCATATTAGTTAAGAGTGTATGATCAAAGGAATAATTGGTTGATTACTTGGTTGCTTAGTTGGTTGATGGACTAATGGTTCAGTGACTGAGCCTTTCATTATTTTATCGATGATAATTGTGCTACTCTTTTGTAATACTTGCAGAATAAATTCAAGTTCAATATAAATCTTGATTATTTCATCAACTCACTCCTGACAATGAAGTCGTAGGTGGCGTGCTTGTCTCGCTTGTATGAGGTCGAGGGCTGGTCGATGTCAGTCTCGGAGTCCGTCTCGAAGTCAGGCGGGTATTCGTCATCCGTTGGGTGGCCTGAATATGGTAATACAATAAAGATTCAAAGTGGGATTTTAATAGCACAGTGATTAAAAAAAGATGAGAGGTTTAATTATCTTTTCATCAACTGACATTCAACGAATTGTTATTATTCATTCGAAACTTAAAAAAAAACTCTAGGTGATCCAATGATAAACAAGTTGATTCATGCACCCTTTGTTATAGAATTACATCTATCCATTATTGTGTAACACTAAAAAAATATGAAAATGAATAATCACTAGTACATAACACCTAAGATACTAATTACTTTTTACAACCAAATAAAATTTGATCATTCCGGTATACTTTTTTTACATACACTGTAACATAGTGATTCAATGATACTAAATGTACGTGGAAAAAAACAACAACACATAATTGGGATCTCTTCATCTAATTTAGTGAACCATGTTTTGTTATTTCATTGGACCTACCTATCATAACTTAGAAAACTTGAAATTGCTTTTTATTCTAATTGATATCATTAGTAACCAATTCATATATCCATTTTGTCGGTATATCAATTGTATTCCTTCCTCTATCCTTTCATTATATTTCCCGATTTATGATTTCTAACATTTACGAACAAATACAATTAGATCACTCCGGTTTTTTTTTTTTTCTTCCACATAAATTATGTTGTTACATATTGATTTTATAATACTTCATGTATGCTGTTAGTACCTGTTACATATTGATTATATAATACTACGTGATTTCAAACCAACCTGAGGGAGTATGATCTCCAGTCTCCTTACGGTCGATGACGGCCTTCCCGTCATCATCGTGGCCAAAGGTGTCCATCACATCTCCATCCTCTTGGTGGCCTGATTACGGTAGCATAATAAAGGTTCAAAGAGGAATTCTTAATAGCACAGTGATTGTCGGGATATGAGAGGTTTAATTATCTCTTCATTAACTGTAATGCAACGCATCGTTATTATTCATTCGAAACTTCAAAAACTCTAAGTGATCCAATGATTGACAAGTCGATTCACGCACCCTTTGTTATAAATGTACATATATCCATTATTGTGTAACACTAGAAAAATATGAAAATAAATCATCGCTAGTATATACTTTTTACTACCAGATAACATTAGTTCATTCCGGTATACTTTTTTTTTTTACATACGCTGTCACATATTGATTCTATAATATTAAATATACTTGGAAAAAATAACAAATAATGTTGATCTTTTCATCTACTTTTTACAACATATTAAGTGAACCAATTTTGTTATTTCATTGGACCTACCTATCAAAACTTAAGATTGCTTTTTATTCTAATTGATATCGTTAGTAACCAATTCATATATCTATTTAGTCGGTAAAATTATATCCATTCCTCTATATTCTTTCATTATATTTCCCAATTATTTATGACTTTAAACATTTACAAACAAATACAAATAGATCAGTCCGGTATAAGTTTTTTCCCCTCCCACATAATGTACATTTATGCTGTTAGTACCTGTTACATATTGACTATATAATACTTCGTGATTTCAAACCAACCTGAGGGAGTATGATCTACAGTCTCCTTACGGTCGACGACGGCCTTCCCGTCATCATCGTGGCCAAAGACGTCCATCACATTTTCCATCTTCCTGTCGATGTCGACGAAGGCCCAGAGGAGAGCGAAGGCGACGCTGATGTTGACGTGGGTGATCCAGGACAGGGATACAATGAACAGGAAGTCATTCTCTTCGACGAAAACATCGTCGATCTCTGATGATGCTCCGTCGTCACTGGTGACGTCACTAGCTAGAGAGCCGCTGGAGAGATAGACGCTGCTATCCTCATCTGTATAGAAAATGTTATTGAATGAAAAGTTTGAAAGCCATAATCGTATTTTGTGAACTTAACATAAAAAAAAGACATGATCGAAAAGCATTAATTGTGGCAAACTTAAACAAAAAATTAAGCCATAATAGATTAATATAGGTATAATAAATAGTATCAATTTGACAAAGCTAACATTTCAAGCTATTATGATATAGAAATGGTTCGGATTTTTTTTAATAAATAAAGTTATAACCTTTTATAATTAATTTGGGGATCACATAATCACATTGGGGACTCAACATTTCAAAGCCAAAATCTTATTGCCAAACTTCACATTTTAAAGCCAAATCATAATGTAATTTGGAAAATTTGAGACATTTAACAAGCAAAATTATAACCATGTAGTATCAATTTAGCATACACAATATCTTAGAGCCATAATCATAGATTTGACATGTTAAAAACACGTCTCCGTGCGTGCTATATTATTACGTAACAGATGAAATAAGATCCCTTGTATATTCATCACTATTAGCTTCGTTTCGTGTTCTCAAGGCACTCACAGAATTCATTAAAGTTCGCAAATAATAATGATGGATTTTAATGACAGTCAATAAACCATAAACTTTTGTGGCTCAAGAATTGCATAATAGGAATGAAATGTAAAATGCCGGTAATTATAATACCCGTTTCTTAGAACACGCTTGATGAACATATACTGACCAAAGTGCTCACAGTAGTATTATTACGGGTACAATGCTTCCCAAGATAGGAACTGACTTGATATTATGACACATAGTTAAACATTTGAACTGGGCGTTACTGAAAAGGCAAAAAGTTATGTCCAGGTTGACTAAGCAGGGGTATCGAACTGAGAGGGGAACCTGAAAAGGGAGAGAAGTCAAGGACATAAACTACACAAAATAATACTTCTAACATATGTGTTTGCCATATTTCCCGATCCTAGAGAATCAATTTATTGATTCCTTCTTTTTGCAGTTTGTACAATTATCTTGAAACAAATTTAAAGATTTTGTTTTGTATACATGTAGCTGACCTGTCTGCTTGATGACGTCATCGTTCATCTCGACCATCGTGTCCATCTTCTGACCAATCACAGAGCGTGTCTCATTGCACACATCAGCAGGACCTTTGGCCTTCTTTGTCTTACCGCCCTTGCCACGGTTGACTTTATTTGGGATGGTAAATAAAGATAAATGACTGCATGATCTTTGGATGAATGAATGAATGAATAAATAAATAAAAAAATATGTAATTGCATAAATTAATAAATAGTAAATAAGTAAATAAATTATTACATGTAAATCAATAAATGAATGAATAGATTTTAAAAAAAAACATAATCAATGGTACAATTTGTTCTTCTAGAACGGCATACCCTTAGCCTTGCAAGAGGCTCTGTGAGTGAATCTGTGGACTCTGATCCTGTCATCGATCTCGTCGTCATCAGATTCGATGTCAGCATCACCCATGTACTCATCGTCATCCGATGATTCGTCGTCACATGACTCTTTATCGCTGTCATCGTTGACGAATCGATCTGTCACGAGTCAAGCAGTATAACATGTTATCAAATGAAACAAATTATTTACTGAATATGTATAAAATAATATTATAATGTATTCTGAAATATGTGAAAATCCTACTGTTCGAAATCATCGCTGTGTCTAATTTCTCAATCTTGGCTTTCACTATCATAATTATGTCATCCTGACGCTCTTTTCATGATTATTTTCACTTTCGCTTCCTCTCCATCTTGGACATAAGAAATGTTTGTTTAAACAACAATGCTAAATTTTTATTTTTATTTTTTTAATGTAATGAAAGATAAAGTACCCATCAAATACAAATAAAACCCGCAATACTCTAACGGCCTTGATTCAGTTAAGGTTCTAATTACTTTTTACAACCAAATAAAATTAGATCATTCCGGTATACTTTTTTTTCTCATGAAAAGTAAGACGAAAATCCAACTTACGGTAGTAAAGGAAGTCCCATGTAGATACCCTACGGTCAGCTGGGTAAGAGGTTGATGGACGGACCCTCTTTACTGACCGCTTGCCCTTCTGGCCAATCAAAGGGCTTGATTTTACTCCCTGGCAGTTGATTGGCTCAATATTCTGACAAATCAGCTCGCTGAGAATAGCCTGTAGGACGTGACGACGAAGGACTTTAGGCTCGATGGCGACGATGGCTGTTGTTGGAGAGACTTGAGCAGTCTTGGAATTCTGCACAAGATCGTCATCGTCGTGTTTCTTGTCGTCATGGTCTCCGGCTTCATTCTCCGGTCCCGAAGGAACCACCTGAAATGCAATTTGTCTCAGTTATAATGATAGTGGGGATGTGTTCTGCATCCGGATGTTGGATGCGGCTCATGATTTTTTTTTTATCAAGGGGGGGGGGGGCGCAAAACCCAGGCTGCCCAATAGTACATCTTAGATATAATAGTACAATAAAGCATGGCATGCAGGTCCGATACCGTTTAACTGACAGCATTCCTAAAATGAACAGCTGTTGAGTTAACGTATAGAAAATGAATATAACTACCCCTAAGCCCCCCCCCCCCCCCCCCCGCCCCAGAAAATAAAAATCCCCTAGAAATGCCTCTTGTAGACGCGGCGCACAATTGTCAATGTTACATAATTATATACATTATTAGGTGATGCAACAGTAAATAAAACGAATATTATGCCCCCTCTTTAGCAAAATCCTGGATCCGCCCGCGATGTACATGTAGGTACGTGTACTATAGGTCTTATTCTTATTAGAGACTAAGATAACAAGTAGCACAAATCTCCGCACATTATCTAGACAGGATCATTGTTTTATGTGTATCTTGTTTGAATAATCGTGATAATGGAAAAGGGGGAGGGGGTGGGGGGGGGGGACAAAGCTTATAATATCCCCAACCCGGACAAAGCACATTGCATTATACAATCACTCGTATAGGCATGTTTCTCCAAAAAAATAGCCACCAACGTAACGCTAACCCTATTTTATTTAAAACAAGATGTGCAAATGTTATGTCAGTTGCTATGTTTAGAAAATGCGTTTACGAATGATTTTTTGTGAAGCCCCCATCCTTCCTACCTCAATCCGCCACTGTCAATATCGACCTTCTCTCTTCCCTTCTCCGTCCCGATAAAGGCTCTCGCACGCTCTCTCTCTCTCTCTCTCTTTCTCACTCTCTCTCACTCCCTGCCCCTATTTCTAATCTCTCTTCCACTCTCCTCAAACATCGTTGCACAATATAATGACATAATTGTGACAGATGCAAGCACATCATTGATGTCGTATGATTGGGGGGGGGGGGGGGGTGTCCGAACATTAACAAACATAAAGCTTTCACATTTGCCTTCCGTTTTAACGAAAAATAATCATATACCACTAGCTCTAACCATCATGAATATTTTTCCTTTTTAATATCGTCCAAAGTAAGTCTTAGAAAATGTAGGATACTGTATATTGCTTGTAAACTTCTTTAAGTTGCCGTTTTGAATCAACAATTATTGTTCGGATACACAAACTGTCCGGACACACAACGTCTGGGTTTAAAGACTCAGTAATTAAAAAAAAATACACCTCCTTGCTCAGACAAAACACTATAATCTATTTGATAATCATTTTCATTCAAGAAATCTGTGTAAACAACCCAACATATTTCTTATGTAAATGTGTGAGAACTGTTTCTTTACTTTAAAAAATAATAGATAAGTGATACTAAACATCACATGAGCAGCAGCGAACCAGTTTGATTGGTCTATTAAGCACTCTTATTACAGGGAGTGCTGGTGTGACCACCTGCCAACAAAATATTTGTTGATAACCGAACTGGCTATTTTTTTTTTAAGTGTTCAATATTAATTATCATATGCAAATTTATCAAACCATTAAAGTACTCTGAAGTATTTGAAGGAGAATAAATACAGAAATGTAATGAAGAAAAAGCAAAAATTAGAGCTAGGGCGTTATATATAAAGTATGACACAATTAAAAAACACTGACAAGTTGATCTAAACAGAGGGGAGGTGAGTGATTCTTAAACATTTGTCTTTACCTTTGTGTTCCTCGAGAAGAGGTTCTTGATTCCCGCCCAGCAGCTTGTCCCACTGGCTTCAGTAGAACAGCTGCTTTTCTCTTCGATTTCATCCTCGGATAGCACAGGCACAACTTTGGATTTCGACGAACCCATAATTGAAAGCGATCCGAAACAATTCTGAAGAAATTTCCGATAATTGCTAGACAAAAGCAAATAGCTAGTTAGCACAAAAGAGATAACTAGAAAGTGAAGTATAACGCAATTAATAATACGTTGGTAGTTACCAGAGAAGTGCGCATGCGCATATCATGCTATAACGCGTGCATGCCTCTTACGTCAACAATGGCACAGATGCGCGCATACAAAAGTTTGCAAACTTTTCCTGTATGGAAACTTCGGCAGGTCCAACGCATTCTCTACTAGTATAGAGATTGGTTGCATTATAGCAAACGGCATTGCTGCAAGATTAATTTTACAGTGTTTTAAATACACATGAAAGTTATTGAACATTATCTACAATAGTTAATATAATAATCTAAACCTTGTATTTATTCATGTATACGACCAAGAAAAATAAATCTAAATACTTGCAGAACCAGGTGCAAAACTCAATATTCGTGAAATCGCTTTTGTTAAGGCCCGGTCTTACCGCCAGAACTTTGCTGGAGCATTCCTTGAACGGTAGGGAGAGGGGGCCGAATTTCGACAACGCTCGTCACCACGCACAAAATGGGAAACAAATCGAAAACACGGGCGTTGCCTTAGCGGTGCACCGCTGAAGCCGGCGTTGCTTTAGCGTTGGTCCCGCTCCGACACCTCCATACCAACGCCAAACCAAAGTTCATCACCGCAATGGATCGCTGCTTCAACGCCCGACACCGTTCCAGCAATCCCGTGTCCGCTCGTAAAACGCTTACAACCGCTCCACCAAAGTTTGTGCTACGTTTAATCACCGCCCGGGCAAAGCTGGCGAAGCAGCGGTGGTCCAGCGTTCAAGATTTCTGCGTTGGCCTAGCGGACCAAAGCGTCCACGAACTTGCGTCTAGCGGTGCCAAACTTTGACTGGGCGTTGTTGGAGCGGTGGTGAACTTAAGGCCCGGTCTCACCGCCAGAACTTTGGTTTGGCGTTGGTATGGAGGTGTCGGAGCGGGACCAACGCTCGCTACCGCTCACTACCGTTAAACCCACGCTAAAGCAACGCCGGCTTCAGCGGTGCACCGTGTTTTTGTTTCCCATTTTGTGCGCGGTGACGAGCGTTGTCGAAATTCGGCCCCCTCTCCATACCGTTCAAGGAACGCTCCAGCAAAGTTCTGGCGGTGAGACCGGGCCTTTAGATAATATGTTTACCCAGCGCGTTTGCAAAACTTCCATTAACGAGGTATTTGGGTTGGGTATGCTGTTTGAATTGTTTTACGTTGTCGCTCTTGTTGTTGATGTTGTTCGTTTTGTTTATTTTTAATTTCTTACTATTTATAAATATAAGCCAAGGGCGTCACATCCTCTTTGTAGCGACCTATTGGTATTCACTGGTATCATATTCGTATAAAAATTTAAACATTCAATATTTAAATCAAAATTTGCATAACGTCTTTTAGATTAATTTCATTTATTTCACTTATTAATTTTATTAATTTGTTCATTCGATCATTTATCCATTTATCCATTAATTCATTCATTTAACTTATCTTTTTATTTATCAAATTTGATAAAATTATATTGGAATTAATTCAAATTATTTATCCAAATTCTTACACGTTGTATTTGTAGTTGTAGTCAAACAGCCCAAGGGCTGCATTTTACATTTTAAAGAATGTATCGAACAATGTCTTCTTTCTCATGCCATAATTAATTCATTACATAAAATAATTAAATTATTAATTCTTTTACTTATTCATTTGTTATTTCTTTATCAATATGACCCATGGAAGAACAGAGATGTTATATAATTGCCACTGTATGAATGAAACGGGTTATTCGGCATGTTTACCATTTATCATAAATCAATTTTACTTTTTGTTATACTGCTATGGGAAAGAGGCACGTTTGAATATGATGCTAACACTCATTTTAGAGGAAGTTAAAAGAATATACCTATGGCCTGAGAGTCAGAGGAGAGATGTGAATTACAAATATATGATTGCCTGAATACAGAACACTGTATTTTCTCTGCGAGGTTCATACTTTGTAATTTTGTATATACTTGTGTTTTTGTACGTTTTAGAAATTCAACATATTCATCATTATTTTCCTTTTCTTCCTCCTCCTCCTCATCCTCTTTTTATTCTTCTCATTCTTCTTTTTCTTTTTCTTCCTTCCTTTTCTTCTTCTTCTTCTTCTTCTTCTTCTTCTTCTTCTTCTTCTTCTTCTTCTTCTTTTTCTTTATCTTCTTGTACTTATTATCATTTCTACCATTATTATTTTAATGTTGTTATTATTATTATCATCTTTATTATCATTAATAATTGTTTTCTTATCTGTTTGTAAATAATAAGATTTTGTGTACATGGTTATGTCGGGGACCCCACTGGAAATAAGCTCTCGAGCTTTCTTAGTTTATCCTTTTCAAGCTGACTTAATGTTGATCTGTTATTCGTTTAAATTGTTGTATATGTTAAAGGTAATACAAAGTTTTGGTATTGGGTCATGAATTTGGTGGAAATTAACATATTGGAAGCATATGCGATCCTACAATGTTCAGTGATCGTTGTCGCGGTTGAAATTGAGTCTAAAGTAATGAAATTGTTAATAATCTCTTTACGTTGTATAGCTCTCTCTCAGGGTGAATATAAAATTATGCTATAAAACAATGTTTCTTGACTAAAATCAACCGATTAGCTATTATGCTGAGATTTTCATGGTCGCAGCTACCATTGTACAGCCGTAGGCGCTATTTGAAACTTACCAAAATTTACCGGGAGCACCGGTAAATTGTTATATTCAATTGTTCTCGAAAGCAGAAGTGTTTTAGGGGCTAAATTTTTAGTGCTTAAAATACATCCACAGGGGCATCCAAAAATATCAAAATTGTAAAGAATCACTATCCAACAAATTTTCCAAATTTCCCAAAACTTTGTATTATCTTTAACGGCTTGGCGAACAAAATGTAATCAATCAATCAATCAATCAATCAAGATGTCCACTTGTCATGTTGTCACGCACTTTGTATGTTAATACGGATAGGGCTACTCCTTTCTCTCTGCAGAGTAAAGACATGCTGGTATTTTAACACAAATGATATGGACCATTGTTTAATTCCAAG